AATTCATACTTTAAGGCCAAATAGGCCTATATACAAAGCTTAAATGGAATTGAAATGGTTTGTAACCTTCGTGTTGGCCTTCTGCCACAGGTGTGAACTCCAACCTCTGTCCAATTCTGGCACTTGAAAAATCCTTATGAAATCGTGGTTATCTAACCATGCAAAACGACAACTTTTCCAACTTGAATTTTTCAGTCACTTCTACAGCATCTTCATGTATATTAGCCTATAAATGGTTAACTTGTTTTTCTACATTTTTGAGTTGTAGGAAAGCACACTAGTATCTAAATACAACAAAATGTTTTTTTTCTATATTTAATTTTTTATATACTTAAAAAAAAACAAGTTTTTCAGCCAAATATCGATTCTTAGGCATAGTTACCATGCCAAGTTTCAGTCACAGTTCATTTGTACAGTCCTGCTTGAAATCCATGAGGAATAAAATACTCAGCAAGTGACTGCTGAAAATGGTGCATCACATTCTATCAGTACCTGACACAGAATATCCTCTTTTGTGAAGCTTGCATGCCAAGAGAGGCTCAATCTTTAAAATATAAAAGGGGCTTCTTCATTTGCATTAGTTATCAAACTATTGCGATTCACTGAACAGTAGCCCAATTTATAAACAATGAGGTCAATGGAAAATTACCACTAACTTCAATGAATGCTGGACAGGACCTTTGGTATCAGGGATAAACCCACAATGTTAAATATTCAAGAATATTCAAATATTCAAGAATATTGTAAGCACAGATTGCATTTTTGTAAATCACCCCCACTGATCTAACTGTAATTATACTGAAGCATCAGTAATGAAACTTCCTCATAACTGACTGCTATTCATTCTTTGCTGAAAAGTAAAATAAGACTGAAAATACTTTAATGAATATGATTAGGTTGGGAGTTTTGTAGTGAGAATTAGACTCTACTACATAATTGCTTGGTTCATAAATTATGCGCAAGAGCAAGGGGAGAAAAACTGGTAATTCTGTTGATGTTTATGGCATCATCATATACTCGTAGGACACTTTTCTTCTTGACTTATCATTCATACCAAACTTATTCCAAAAGTAAATCATATTGTAGAATTAAAGACTTCATTACCTACACTCTTAAAACTGAATAGATTTGGTGAAATCTTTTGAAAAAGAAATAGTGTATCACCTCTCATTAAACTATCACTAATTGACAAACTGTGCGCAGGTTTGAAACAAACTTTTCCATAGACTTTAATGAGAATTTCTATGCTTTAACAGAAGATAATAGGCCATTATCAATATGGTATTTTATTCCATCACTACACCTCTATGTTGTAAAAGACACTTATAGTAAATAATACTATTATTTTAGAGCATCTTTGTTGGCACACCTATTTTTCAATCTTCTAGTAGACAAGTCTGGAAATTGGTTTCCATGATACCCAACTGGGCCAACCTTAGGACAATAACATTATTAGTGAAAAAGTGTCCAAACTTGACCACAGGGATGCACTATGTATTTGCTAATGCCCCACAACTCTGGCATACAGATGTACTGACTGATTAAAAAAAACAACCATAAAAGCGGACAAATTTGTATGCCTTTATATCTTCCTTGATAGATGTATAGCAGTTTCTTAATATCAGGGTTCAGGAGCAAGTATCCTGCAACTGATCAGTAAGGACCTACCCAAATCACAAAATTGGGCTCTCCCTGCAAAATTTGCAGGGGGAGCAGAAGCCCCTACTTAAAATAAAGTGTTGGTGTCGGCCCCCCAGTGGGAGCCAGCAGTCCTCCCAGCTGTGCAGCCCGGCAGGAAAAGGGATATCAGCAAAAAGCCAAGAGGCAAGGTAGCGACCGCCCCGGCCCCTGCTGCTGATTGGTTGAGGGCTGCCTGTCATGTAGTTCCACCCCTCTCCACCAGTGAGTGGCAAGGTGTGGGGCTACATGACAGACAACCCTCTCCACCAATCAGTGGCAGAGGTGGGGCTACCAAAGCCCCTCAGCCAGAGGCACGGGGAGGGGCCTGTTGCAATAAGCCCTGAAAAATGGTGACTTGCCCCTCAATCTGCCCACAATATCAGCCACCTGCCGCCTTGACTTGGGCAGACCTCTACTGATCAGCCTTACCCTCATTCTTTGATGACAAGGAGAAGTCCTCTGGCCTGAGCATGGCCTTCAGGCTACAGGTTGGGCTGTCCCGTTCCAGGGTCGGAGTGGTCTTTTTCAAAGTCTTTAGTGGATACTGATCAGAATGTAGTGCAAGATCTACTAAACTAGCTCTCTCCGCGGCCAAATAATTCTGAAGTTAACATAATCAGTTCATTTGGAGTCAAAAGCAGGATCAGAAAAATTTTATTTTTATTTGAAATGCGTAGGTTGCATCCTAAGCTACCTGTCTTCATTAGCCTTACAATGGTATAGGCCAGGGGTTTTCAACCTTTTTCAGTTTAAGTACCCCCAGTGGCTGGACGCTGAGTGGGGCAGGAGGGTGGGGGAGAGGGGGTAGCACATGGCCAGACGTGGAACAGGGAGGCGAGGACGGCATCCAGGGACAGAGCGCCACTGCCCTCCCAGGGGCAGGGTGGGGAAGCTCACTGGGCTGGGGTGAGGGCAGCAACGCCCCTTCGCTGGGTGGGGAAGCTCACTGGGCTGGTGTGGCGGCGGAAGACACCACGTTCCAGCTTCCCTACCCTGCAGAGGGGTGCCACTGCCCTTGCCCTGCTCCTGGGAGGCAGAGGCACTCCACCCACCCACGCATACCTCCTAGGACTGGTCCAAGTGCCCCCAGGAGTACGCGTACCTCCAAATGACAACCCCTGGTATAGGCCTCTGGAAACTTTTCCACAATTTTTTCCCCTTTGAAAGGAAAATTGCTATGTGATCCAGAACAGCCACTGTAGCAGATTACAAAGGATTAATTAAAAAGGTTGTGTGTCCACAAAATACAGTTTTAAAAAACAGCCATTGTTTAGCAGCAGTCAGATGAAATGGTTATGATATAAAAATTGCAGGTCAACATTGCCCCCGACTGTTTCCAAACGCGCTCCATCTTGTGTCACATGTAAAAATTAGGACCTGGTGCAAAGTCCACTAAAATCAACAGGGTCCTTCCTTTGACTGACGGGCAGTGGATCCAAGCAAGAACAAGGGCCACATTTACAAAGGTACTTAGGAACCCAGAAGCAGACAGACACCTAACTCTCACACATTCAGTGAAATATAGGCGTGCAAAGCACTTCTGAAAATCCTACCAGCACCTTTCTGCTACTCAAGGTGCAAAACACTTTTGAAAAGCTGTCCCTAATCTTTTCACTTTGGAGAGCTTGTTCTAAAGCTTCATGAAATAAACCAACGGGTTTTAAAACTGGAACCCAACTGTCTAGATTACTGTAAAAAAATTAATAGAGCAGGTAACTGATACTTTTTAAAATAATAAATACACCTATTAAACCACGGTCAAAATTAACCCTAAAAAAGAACAGAATTTGTTCCATAGTTGCAAGTATTGGAAGGGACATACCACATAAAATACAGAAGATGAGTGCGTTTTCCAACATTTAAACTACTTTTAAGCAAAGGGTCCTAAGCCTGGCAGATCATGGGGAAAATACCAGCTCCCAAACAAAGACAAACCTGTCCGCTACCCTGGACCCCTGCTACAGATCACACGTATTATGTTATTAACTGATTCATCATGCAATAAATTTAGACCAGCTACACATGGAAAGTAATTATCATGCCACAGAAATAACTGTCCAACTATAAAAAGAACCAACCAGCTATAAAATTAGTGCTTGAAAATGTGTAACAACTCTATAGCTGGTTTTTATCCAGGTTTAATTTGACCACGTAGCAGGGCCCATGGAGTACAGACAGTGGCAGGTATTTGTAAAATCTTGTGTAAAGGCCTCTTTTATGCATCAGTTTTACCTGAAAAGCATGAATATAGCTGTCCTAGTTGTCAGGACTACTCGCTGCAGCTTTCCTTTAAGTTTTCTCTTACATTACATAAATGTGTTAGTATCCACCATGCAGTTTATCATCCAAAATATCCTCTACGCTCAAAGGGGGGAAATGCATATCACTCAGGAAAGACTGGCAAACCAAAAACTTTATTTTAAATTTGATTTTATTCTTTAAGGTTGCCATAAAATGAAGATTCTGAGATATTATATGCTGCAAGCATAGTTCACACATTGTTGTGGGCCAATTATATAATGAAAACTCATCAGGCAAGAAACTTAAGAACACATCTTTCTTCTGCTATAAAATCATGAGTATGCCCCTGTAATTGGCTGCACCCAGCCTGTTAACATAGATGTGTGAGAGAATTCAAAAATATAGAGAGAGAGATATATATATTGATCCATAGGACACAGAAGAATGAAAATTTTTCTACTCCTCAAATTATCCTAAGGTATTATGAGTGAAGACAATTCTTATTTATACTCCGAAATAAGTGATGATATGCAATTTGCATGAATATAACTCACAATAAGGTTAAGTAGGTTTGACATGCACGTGTAGAGCTGGAAAGCACAGCAAAAGTGCAATAGTAAAGAGCCAGGCCTTATTGTAATACAGGCAAGAGATGTGCCATGTTATTCCAAACAGAAATGCAGAGGTATGTTTTAATATATTAAAACAAGGCTGCCCGCTTACCATGATAACATACTTGTTAATTAGGCAGTTATGATTACTACCATCTAACCAATACTAACAGTGCTGACTGGCATTCATATAGAATTAATTACAAATGAAAAAAAATTCTGAAAACGCCAAGATTTAAGTTAGTCCTTTCTACAGTTTACCACTTCTAAGTTTTGCTCTTGTGCAAAAGTGCACAGACACCTCAGATTTTAAAATTGGCCATGTCTTGTTAATATACTGCAGTCTTCAAAATTTACACAGAGCTGCAGTTCTCTTGGTTTTTCTCAAGTGTCACTGATCAAACTTAGCATGACAGCTGAGAAACGATGTCAGGTGCTTTACAGTTCAGTTTAAAAAACATCCTCTACCTGGTATCTCTGCAGTGATTGTCTTGCTGCTCCCTGAAACCTCTTCATCATCATCTGATGAACTCGTGCTTGAGTCACAGGTCAGGTCGCTATCACTGGTACTGCTGTCCTGCAGCAGGTTGTACTTCTTGCGAGCAGCTGCTTCCCGTTTCTGTCTTAATAACCGGATTCTCTCTTTGTGCTTTTGGCTCCGATGACCTTTCACCTTGGCGACTCGACCATTCTGTTTATCACTAGACTGTCGGTTTTTCTTGGCAGCCATTGTTGACGTTTCACTTTCAGACCTGGATCGTCTGGATTTCCGCCCAACTGCAGCTCCAGACACTCCAGAAGTGTCTCCTTCTATAGTAGCTTCTGCTGGACAGGGCTCGTTCTCTTCTGTAGAAGACAGTGTATCTGAATCAGCCAAATGCCCACTAGAAGAAGGGGAAAGCATGCAATGATTAGAAGAGTCACTTTCATAAACTCTGCCTGCTGTTGGCTTATCACTCTCTGTGGATGCTAGCTGAGACTCTGAGGAATCTCGTCTCAGTTCCGTCAACAAGCAAGGCATTGAAGACAGCACTGTCGAATCTGCTACAATGGGTGCACCATCTTTCTGAGCATGTGTCTCTAATTCTATAGGTCCATCTTCGTCAGGAGCTGCCTCTTGTTTTGCAGAGATTTTCGGTGGGACTTCAGTGTCAATGAGTTCTTCTGCTTTTCCCACTGCCTCCATCTTCATTTCAGAGTTCCAAGCTCCTCCTGGTCTCAAATCATGGAGCACGTGGTCTAGAGGACTGGGGGAACTAGATTAGGGTTTCAACAGCGAAGCAACCTGCACAAAAACAAAACAGTAACAACAATTTACTCAAATAGCAGTCACACCTACGTTTTTTGGTAGTGTCCACAAGGTTACCAACTCACACAACTTCATTCTTCTGTTTCAGCCAATATACTACATTATCGTTTTGTTTGCAGTATTTTTCTTTCACTCCTAATTTTTTTCTAGATGAACTCAAGTCTGCTATACCAGTGTGCTTAATCCTCTCTAAGTACCTAGAACTGACAGCACTATAATTATGAAAAATGCAGTTGAATTCACTCTTATCACAACAAGTTGGAACAATGACAAAGGATTTCTAAACTCTTACTCTGAAATATTTAAGTTAATAGAATATAAACAACATACTTGGAATGTTTGAAGCAATTTTAATATTTCTTTATAGGAAACTTTAGTGCTCATGAACAGCATCTGATTGAAACACCTAAAATCTGCAGTCCAGTACCCTGGAAAAAACTAGAGTACAGCTCAGTTTCTATACCAGTGAGAAATAAGCAAGTGCTCTGAGTCTACCTCCTATTAAACAAGTCTCTGTAGCTACTGTGATTATTACTTAGTTTTAGTGTCTTCCATCCCAAAGCTATCTACAGACTTCAGAAGGTATACAGCCACAGCTGGATGGAGACAAAGCAGCTGCTTAATGGTGCAGAGCAACGCTACGGAACAACTTCGAACACGTTATTAAATAAACCATATCCAAATGAAAGCTGTAAAGGTGGCTTCGTGCAGCTAGGGTACACCTGCAAAAAGCACCGAGAGATTGCATCAGACTCGGGGATCAAGAACTCATTTTCACAGCTCATCTAAAGACAACCCTTCCAGAAGTACAAGCTATGCTAGGACACCAATTCAGAGAGAAACACTGCTGATGATTCACTCACAGAGAATTACCAGCAGTACTTCTTGTAACATTTAAGTTTGCCTTGAAGGTCTCTCATACAAGTACTGACCCATCCTGATTTGGTTTAGCTCATGAATTCTGTCGGGAGAACTGCACAGGATGGCATGGCTGCAGGTAAGAAATTCTCTACCCACTCAGTTTCCGTCCCACCTTTGCTTCAAGTTGGTTCCATTATTTGCACTGTTTCAGCTCAAACGTTAAAAATGAGCTATTCGGTAAGCTGGTAATTTTCACTGTGCCAATTACTGTAGGATCTGAGCACCCACAGGGTATTTATAAATAGAAATAACAGTTAATTGTTATGTTATTTTCCTTTTATCAGACTCTTCCCTCTCCCTTTAATTTGGAATGTAGGGCAGAATAATACTGGGGAAAATTTTTCAATCATCATATGTGAGGGTAGACAATTCCCTCACAGGCTTCCTGTGTGGTTTTTGTACCTCAGATTTTCCCCCTGTAAAAACTTCCCTAGCTTGCAAAGGATGCCGTGTAAACCTCAAAAGTTCTGTTACCAATCCTGATTCATTTTGAAACTAGAAGGTTTTTATTCATTAATATCCTTTCATGGCTCCCTTAGCATCGTGAAGGAGGTACTCGGATACTAGAGTGATTTGGAGGAGGGAAGGAAGTGCATAAAATTACCTTAGGCACCAGTGAAGGGAAGAAATTTTTAATTAACAATCCATTTCCAGTGCAGGGCTAACATTTAATAAACTGGTTACACAAAGAAGGAAATAAACTTGCCATACGATAAGATTAACAGACAAATATGACAAATTAAGATTTGTCAAAGAAGAATCAGGAAAGACAGCTACAAAAAATAATTGTTTTTAAAGTCTGAGGGGGAAATTGAATGCTGAAGATAAAAAAATGGAAAGCTGTATATATAAAAATATTTGCTAGCACTTGGACTGAGTAAAATTAATTTAAAACTAAAGTAAGGAAAGGCCTTTGTGAAGCTGGTAATTTCTACAGCAGTCTTACACAGGCATTTCATAACTGTTCAAGAGCCAATTTCTATTCAAAACTATAGCCCACACTTCAGCAACAAGCAAACCTAGAATTACGACTGTGGATAGTTCGAGGTGTACAAGCATTCCCATGGTGCAATGAACACTCCTGCATTTCATATGCAAATCACTATTACTGAACAATCTCTGTACTATACAGTTGAGTAAATGGAGGCATCATTAAATGTCTTGTCTAAGGATACATACAGTATGGTATTATATCTGGCAAATAGGCAATGGCTTTGTTAGCGCTAGGTTTCTTGGCCTGTAATTTTTTTATGGGTACAATTCACTGGCAATGGCACTGGAAGCACCTGTGATATATAAAGGTACATGGGCTTGGGCATTTTCAGCCATGAGTCTGTCAAACATTTGTCTGCGTTAGTTGTTAGCAGTGCCACAGCTGGTGGAGTTACACCACTGGGAAATTACAGACCCAAGAAATCCTCATGAAGACAAACTCCCTTACACCCAAATCAGCTGGGGACAGAGTCAGAAAGGAAACAGGATGCCCTGAGGAGCATGAGCTCAGCAAAGGATACAGGAGTCACCAGGGCAACAGGCAGCTGATGTTCAGCTCTGCTGCTACTTCTCCAATGTTTGCCTGCACGCCTGGCAATGCGCTGGTGTGCTGACGATTCCTCGATGGCTTTTATGAGAAGTGTGTGGAATAATATGAATTCCATTTTCTCGACTCCCACAATTTTTTTCTGTTATCTTCCCACTCAGATCAAGAAGGAAAATGCCCCAGGAGAATGTGCCACCACTGACATCTCCAGCACAGGTATGAAATCTCCGACATCTGACCTTTGCAGGCAGATGTATGAATTCTGCTCCCTGCATCCAGAACCATAGATTTTGTTAACACCAACTTTCCAGTAGGCCCCAGAAATCATGCTTCTACGTACCCCTTTCCAGAGTGGTGATTTTAAGTATTAAATGCTAAGAGAGGTACTTCAAACTCTGAAGCCTGCTGTGAAGTGACCTCCATCGAGCCAAATGCCTCTTCTGCTAGAAGCCTGAAGAGTGGCACTTTAGAGTGACAGGAACAGAGGGTGGGGAGAGCAGCCTCTTCCTTAATGGGATTTCATTTTTCCAGGGAGGATCAGTGGCAAGCACACTGGCAGTTTCACTGAGTGGTCACACTGGGGAGAGGCTAAGAGACGAGAGCAGACAGCTGACAGATAACGATAGCGTACAATGATTCCACATGTGGTGAGGAAAACAAGTGCGACAGAGGAGAAAACTAAAACCAGAAGAAGATAAGAATTAGCACCTCTCCCAAGAGTGGCTGAAGGGTAAGGCAAGTACAATTTAGTGATTCAACTTAAGAAATAATGAATTCCTCGCACGTGGCCTAGTTCACTTAGTTCTCCGCTCGTAGAACTTTCCAAAGCAGACTGTGCCTTCTTCAAATCAGCTGAATAATGTGAGCAACACATCCTTGATGAATGTTACTTACTTCACAGGCTAAGGATGAATAAGTTCCCAGTAACTGTCAGAGGTTCAGGCAGTGGTGGAAAAGCAAATTATATTGTACTATTTCTGTTCTATGATCAGAGCAAGTGCTTCCTGTGCAAGTGCTTGGGTGTGCACACTAAAAATTCATTTCCCACAAACATGGATGCAGATCACTTGGAAATTTCTCTCTGCTTGTGCCAATAAAACTTGACTGTTCAAACACTTGCAGAAAGTAAATACAAAAAGGATACGAGTGAGGCCCAAAGACATTTAAAGGTTTCAATGCAGTATTTGCAAAACACTTTGCATACTATTTGCCCTACTCATCTGGGAATCAGTAGGTTAGAAGGAGATGCCAAGCAAAAATGCAGCTATGGAATATGGCCAAGGTGAACTATGAATTTTGGTTAACATCCTATCTGAGTATGGAATCTACCATATAGCTCAGAACGGGATCATGTGAACAATATCACTTCCTTCCTATATATCTGCTCTCTCAGCCAAGCAGAAGCAATGCCCCCATCTGCGCGCACAATTTTTGTTCTATGCTCTGGTCATCTGGCTGGTTACAGTGGCTTATACTCAAAATGCAGAACAAACAGCTGATTTAGTTTCTTTAACAAAGGACTGCCACAGACCCAATGCACATGCACATGGCACCCCCTGCGTCTCACTCCCAGAAGCCTAAGCAGGACCCCTTGAAGGCTAGAATGCTGCCCACCTATAATGAGAAACCTACTGGCTCCTGAGGGAACCCAGGCATCGAGGGGCCCCAGCCCTGGGTGGGGGAAGAAGGAACCTGGGTGTCCAGAGCCCTGGACAGAAGGCATAAATTATCAGTAAATATCAATCAGTTACAGTGGCCAAAAGAAGCTGATAGCCGATAATGTCATTTCCCTTTTCTCAGTGCTGATCTGACAGGCAACTGACACACTGGTGCATCTCTGCTAAAAAGGCTTGGAGCCTCATCAGCCCTAGAAAGGGGGGTCTTGAATGACACGCATTCAGGAGCTATGTAGGAAATCTGTTCTGTGAAGAGGGGGTTGGAGACTTTGGGTTTCTCAGTCTTGTACCTTCTAGTGGAACTAAATTTAAAAAACAAACAAACAAGTGAACAAACAAACAAAGTCACTTTGTAGAACCATACAAAATTAGGGTTGGAAGGGACCTCAGGAGGTCATCTAGTCCACGCTCAAAGCAAGACCAGCCCCACCTATATCATCCCAGCCAAGGATTTGTTGAGCCAGGTCTTAAAAAACTCCAGTGATGGTGATTCCATACACACTTAGGGTATACTCATGTTTAAAAAAAAAAAAAAGCGGCAAAGACCCTCCTCCAGAGAAGATAGGTAGTTCTGTTCAGACACTATGCCAAGGAAAAACAGGTTTAAGGGGAGGGAAAGTGTTTTTTTCATTATATGCAATGAAATGCATAAAGGAAAGACAGATTATACTGAAATACTCCTACTGTTTCCCATTTATTACTTTCCTGGAAAGAGTGCTAGATGAGTTCTCAAGGTTACCTTAAGAGACAGTCTAGCTGGCTACTTATATCAGAAAATCGTAGCACTGAGAAGTAGTTTGTGAAGCATCGCGGACTAAAATGGGTCTACTTATACAATGTTCAGGAATTCTATTTAGC